TTGTTAATTTTTTTTTTTTTTTTTATTTTTTTTATGCCCCCATTTCGGATTTTTTTTTTTTTTTTTTTTTTTTTTTTTTTGGAAAATTTCGTTCGGCAATAAAATCTCTCACAGGGTGATACATATTTACTTCAAAAGTGGGGAAATATTTTTTGGGGGGGAGAGAGAGAAGTACCCCTGTTGAATGGATCCACAAGCATATTCACATGTAATATCCGTAGTAGTTATTTTGTACCAACTTTTCATACTAAGGGGGGAGATGCTTTCAGAAGGTCATTAGGCAACACTTGGGCGAGGTAGACCCATGTGCCGTGGACCTGTACACATAATGCTTAACGGCCACACAGGGGTCATGTCGCAGTGGAAAAAGTGAATGTACACGCGTGGTTGTCCCACGGAAAGTAGCCTACACATGGGACATCGCTGCTTTTTTTTCTTTTCCTCCGACAAAGTGTTGACCAACAGACGGCGTCAAAGTTCCGCACCAACCGCGCAAGCACAACTTTGAAATTTTGGTGCATGCAAAAAAAAAAAAAATGTTCCATTTGGCAGAAAGGCAGACCTTTAGTCACCATGTGTGTAATGCGAAGCGGGGGGGAATGGTGTCCTCGGTGGAGGTCCTAGCGCTACGTATTTTGTCCAAGTAGGGTAAAACGAGCATATGTATAAATTTTACGTGCTACTGTTCTGCAGAAAGGGAAAGGGTTCATTCCAACTCGGCACCCAGTCGGAGACGTTCATCTTACAAATCGCGTTGAGGACATTCTACTGATAGCAAATATTCCTGTGGACACAAGTGAGGTGTGATATGCAATAGAGGGGATAAACCGAAACAACCACAACCGTTCACTTGTTTGACCCATTTGTGTGGGCATACCTGTGAGGTGGACAAACAGTTCCAGCGCAGTGTGTATTTTCCCCCCCTTTGGTTTTGTTATATACATTTAAAGGTGACCCGCCGGAAGGGGTTGAAAAGGAATATCTCCGCCTGGGAAACCTGCACAAAAAAACGTGTAACGTTGTAAATAATCTTCATGTTGACCCTCCAATAGTATATTGCGTCAAAGTAGATCATTTCCACAAGTGCAAAAAATGTATGTTAATTATTCCAAGTGGGGGAATGTAAAAAGAAAAAAAAAAAAAAAA